CCTGGTCCGCCACGGGGCGAGATGAAGTAGAGCGGTACCCTGCCACGTGGCCGTGTGAACAACAAAAAAAAGTGAGCCATCGAAGATTTGAGTCCACGCGGCTGGTGGCGGGTGGCGGGCGGTGGTGGCTGGTGATAGGGGGACGGGGCGTGTGCCTGGGGTGGCCTGCGGTCTGGAGGTAGGAGTGGAGGACCTCGATGAGGTCGAAGATGATGCCGCCCGGAAAGAGGGCAGCAGCACCTGACCGCCCGAACTCAGCGTGCTCCCGTGGGCGGCGGCGATCGGTATTTGGTGGGGAGTGGAGGGGAGAACATAAGCAGAGCCGACACAGCGTTGGTCGCTGCTATGAGCTTTTTTAGAGGGGAGAGGGGACGTCGTGGGAAGGTACCGACGAGATTGCAGAGCTCCTGGACCATGGCCTCGGGCGGGTACTGCGGCTCGGGCGAGAGGCTCGTCATGATCATCATGTCGCAGTTGCTGTATAAATATATATATATATATATACATGTTTTTAGAAACGTCGCTGTGTCAGCAATCGGGAAACGAGGCGGGGCGTGCCACGGCCTCTTGTTGGCCTGGCGCTAGTACCTGAAGAGGGTGTTGTCGAGGGGCTGCGGGTGTCGGCCAGGCGACAGAGAGGAGTCGGCGACGTAGATCACCTGGTGAGGGCCGGGACGGGGCGCGGCGGTTAGTCGACGAGAATCACGAGGCCTTGCGGTGGAACGAGCGTTACCTTTTCGTTATCGGTGCGCAGGATCCAGTTGGCGCTGCCCAGGGCGAAGCCCGAACTCACCGGCACCGCCTCCATCACGCCCAACAGGTTCTGCAGCGATAACGCGTAGTAGTGGTGGTTGGTGGCGGCGGCGGCGGCGGCGGCGGTTTGCAGAATGAGTTTGCAACATTAGGACGCGCACAAGTAAATGAGAACCAATGCGAGAAGAAGAGAGAAGAGAGACAGAAAGAAGCGGCATGGCGTACGATGTGCTGGTGGAACGAGACGCGGTGGACTTTGGAGATGGCCTCCTCCACGTCTCGTCGGCCGTAGAGTGTGCGCCAACACATGGCGTCGGCCAACTGCACCTGCAGCTCGGGAGGCAGCGCCCTGTCCCAGTCGCAGTAAACCCAAAATTGAGACTCGAGAGGCTCGACGACACGTCGTGGAGGGGGCTCATTCGGCAGAGAGGGAACGCACGCGATGAGGTCCTGTCTGCCACGGCGCCAGTTCGCCCTCCGGATACTGCACCTTCTCGGCATACTTGACCAGCTCCTGCATCATCATGCTGCGCCCACGCAGCAGCACATCACCCGACACGGCCCGGTTGGTGGCGTTAACGACCGCGATGAGCTTAGAAGGCGGGTTGGTTGGATGGATTGCAAACGCACCTGGCGATCTGTACGGTGGGCTCTGTGGCGTAGACGCGGCCGCGAAAGGCCGAGTGTTCAGTGATGAAGGGGAGGGCGAGCATGTTCTGCGCGTTGGAGATGAGGATCGCGTCCACGGCCGCCAGGTCCAGCAGGCCCCACTCCGGCACACGGAAACGAATCGCGCCTGCATGGGCGCGCCACCACCGGTATACATCTCACAGG